ATATAATATGTCTATATATCATATATATATAATGTCATACTAAGTGTATTTTTATATTAATATGTACTTATATTAATATAAAAATACACTTATAATTAAATTACACACGTATATATATAATATATATAATAACTATATATATTGTGTATATATATTATTATAAAATATAAATAATAAGTAATTTAAATTAAATTAAAAAAATTTAAAATAATAAAATTTAAAAAAATTATATCTATATGAAATTTTATTCTAACTGTATTTTAAAATTAATATATATATATATTTATATCAAAATACACTTAGAATGAATTTGTATATATATCTATGTATATAAAAATAAATAAAAATAATAAGAAATATACATATGTCCATACACAAAATTACATAAATAATTATATAAATATACACGTAGACTTCAAATATATAAATATGCATATATATTTAAATTCTACGTGCGTATTTATGTAATAGTTTTACATAATTCAGTAATTTTATTGATTGCAATTTAAGGGACCTGCCTGCCAACCCAGGCCGAAATTCCAGAGACTTGAATTTGCCAGCACTGTATTTTACCCTGTAACGTTCTACGATACCCTAAAACCTGTACATAAATATTAGTGATTCAAAACAGTAAAACATATCACAGCGATGATATTGTCAGTGAAAGTGACTTTTTTTGCATTTTTCACACACAAACAGCACTTTTACTGATGATATAATTGTTGTGATAAGTTTTCCAGTTTTTAAACACTAATATTTGTGTTCAGCAAAGTCTCCTGAGTAAAACAGTATATAACAGTATATATGGGTCAAATATTTTTACATTGAAAATGGCCAGGTTGGTTACGTTGCCTTTGAGAGCGTATGGTAGCCCAGGAATGAGAATTACCCCCATGATGGCATACCATTTGCAAAAGAAGACAACCCAAGGTATTGCAAATGGGGTATGTCCAGTCTTTTTAGTAACCACTTGGTCACAAACACTGGCCAAAATTAGCGTTCAATTTAGTTTTTTTACTTTTTCACACACAAACAAATATGAATGCTTACTTTGGCCAGTGTTTTCGACTAAGTGGCTACTAAAAAAGACTGGACATACCCCATATTGAATACCCTGGGTTGTCTACTTTAAAAAAAATATGTACATGTGGGGTGTTATTCAGAGATTTATGACAGATAATGGTGTTACAATGTCACTATTGATAAATTTTAAAAATGTATGTTTTGAAACCGCAATATTCTACTTGTACCTATAGCCCTATAACATGCAAAAAAAAGCAAAAAAGCAAGTAAACATGGGGTATTTTTAAACTCAGGACAACATTTTGAATCTATTTAGCAGTTTTTTTAATTCGCTTTTGTAGATGAGTAAAAGATTTTTCAAGTAAAAGTCAAAAAACATGTATTTTTTCAATTTTTCATCATATTTTTTTATTTTTTTTAAATTAAAATACATGAGATTATATAAATAATGGTATGTAAAGAAAGCCCCTTTTGTCCTGAAAAAAAAAATATATAATTTGTATGGGAACAGTAAATGAGAGAGCGGAAAATTCCAGCCAAACACAAACACCACAAAAGTGTAAAAATATGCCTGCTCGCAAATGTACAACATCGCAAAAACAGTCCAGTCCTTAAGGGGTTAAAGGTAGGGACCCCCTTCCATTTATAACTCTTCCACCTAGGGACCTTTGGTTCCACACTTATCTTTCTGTTTATAATTCGTGGGTTATTCCCCAGTAGGGAAGAGTTATCAGGGCTTTTTCATAAACTACAAAAAATAAAATACTGCACTCCAAAATATTGTTATATACAAGAAAAATTGATGAGTAAGATTCTATTCAATATGCAAGAAAATAAAATTTAATAGAATATACACTTAATGTCTAAATTCATATATCTACTAGTGATGTACCGAACGGTTCGCCAGCGAACGGTTTCTGGCGAACATAGCATGTTCGCGTTCGCCACGGCGGGCGAACATATGCGCGGTTCGACCCGCCCCCTATTCATCATCATTGAGTAAACTTTGACCCTGTACCTCACAGTCAGCAGACACATTCCAGCCAATTAGCAGCACACCCTCCCTAGCAGACCCTCCCACCTCCTGGAAAGCATCCATTTTAGATTCATTCTCAAGCTGCATGCTTAGTAAGAGGAGGGAAAGTGTAGCTGCTGTTCATTAGATAGGGAAAAGCATAGCTAGGTTAGGGTTAGGGTATGCTTTTTTTTAATTTTTTTTTCT